AACATTTTCAGTTGGTAGGAAATTTTGAATTTTGCCTGGGTGGCGGCGGAGCCTCCTCTTATTGATTTTAAACCACAAAGGGAACTTTAACGTACGCTTCTCTAGGACCTCCTAGATTGTTTTGCCCTTGTCCAAGAAGGCTAGTTGTACATCATTCCTAACAGAAGATCAGGGGTGTGGCTGAAAGACAGCAGTAAGAAAGAGCCAAGGGGTAGCATCAGAAAGAGCCAGGAGCCCAGAGGAGGGCGCAAAGCAAGTGAGGGGTTGTGGGCAGAGAGTGGAAACGAAAGCAGACGACAGAACACTACGTGAGAGCAGGAACGGAGGTGAAAGGAGACAATATTAGAGAAGACAATTTTTCCAATGCTACCCGGATTGGAACCCGGAACCTTTGAATGAAATGCGAACACCTAAACCTTTAGGCCACGAGAGCCCCCTGTGTGTGTGTATGTGTGTGTGAGTGTGTGTGTGTGTATGTGTGTGTGTGTGTGTGTGTGTGTGTGCGTGTGTGTGTGTGCGTGCGTGTGTGTGTGTGTTTGTGTGTGTGTTCGGGTTTAGAAGAGCTCTTCATTTTGTTTGCAAGAACAATACTTTATTTAAGTTAAGAGGTGGAAAGGCCTAGAAAGTTGCTTCTTCATAAAACAGAAGTTCAACCATTTCTAAAGAGTCGAAGACAAGGATTGTATCCGATTTTACGTATGTATATTATATTACACGTATAATTATTTATGTAGTTATTGTGATAGCACTAAAGTTTTCAAAATTCAGACAAAAGCGTTTGGTATGAGGTCAAACAAAATGCTTCTATCCTTTTTGGTATCCTGACGATCCTTTTTACTCATCCCCCCCCCCCCCCCCGCCCCTACCAAGGAAATTTTTTTAAAAACCCAACAAAACATGTAAGATATCTATACCAAAACCATCCACATTATCTGAGCATCAATAGTGGCATGCATTTCTAAACAGAAAGTTATGCGCCTTAGAGCCCTGAACTTGAGGACAAGGTCAAGGTTCACAAAGTTGAAAAAAATGCGGGCCAGAAACAAAAAAACTGGCACTGAGCTAGGGATGATGGGCGAATGAATCAGCTTCTAATTAGTTGTTTTTTCTGTTTTCTACCAATTTTTCTGGTTATATTTTATTTATTTCCGTGTAATTCTTGTTTTCAGATCATAAAACAAATGGTTAAACAGTGTCCATACTTCTTTTCTCTTTATATTATATTTTCTAAATTGTCTACCTCGCTTTTCCCCTGACTGTTATTGTTTTGAGGTGCTTTTCTCTATTCAATTAAAAAGAAAATTAAGTATTACTTACTTACAAACAGTATCAATATTACAACTGTTGTGGATTCACGTGAATGTAACCTGCATACTGATTTTCAAAATTAAAAACAAACAAACGACTATAGCAATATATTTATTATAGGAATTCACAAAGGAGGTAGAGACAACTAAAAGTTCTTTGCTATTCATTATTTATTTTTTAAAACTTTATTTTATTTTGTTTTATGTATTTGAAACACTTTCCTACAGATAAATAAATATCAAATCAATCTTGACAACAACTTGAAACAACATGTTTATTTTGAAAGATATTGAAAGAGCATTTTACGTGTTTCAAATAGCTGCCTAACATCTAATATCAGACATATTATAGGGATAACAGAAATCAAAATTTACATTTTGAGTATAACCTGGTGTCATTAGAAAGTGGAAAACAATACAACGTACGACTTGCCACGTTATATTCTCAATATTGTGCAGGTTTGATCGATTCGATTTTCTCTCAATAGGTTCCAAAAAGGAAACCGGTAGGAAAGCAATCAGCATGCTTTCAGAACTGCCAAGTGCACTCCTATTGATGATGCACGTGGATTGTTTTCACAAAGCGCACCAGCATTGCTGTGTACAAGGATTGAGCATCTCCACCAAGGGCACTCATTTACATTGTTCGGGGATCGATCGATCGTCCCCACCATGTGCAATCACAGTGGCGGTGCACGCTGATTTCCCTAACTAAGTGCACGCAAATTGTCGGTGCATGGGGAGTTCAATCGCCTTATCAAGTGCACACGCAATCTCAGTTGATGAGTATCGATTCTCGATTATTACGTCCAAAGGCTGGTGCACGGGGGAGATCATCCGATCAGTTGTAATCAAGTTAGGGGTGAAAAGTTGTCACCCCTAGATTTGCATTGTCGGTGCACAGGCCTGGATCGCCCCCCCCCCCCCCCCCAATTAAGCTAGTGCACACACGTTTTTGATACATGAGATCAATCGACCCCACCAAGTGCTTGCGTAATGGTTGTGCACAGGGATCGCCCCCAGTGAGCGCCAAAGATCATATACATAACAAGATAGTTCTCTCCTCTCTTTGAGTAAATATTTTCCAAATCCGGTGGTGCTCTCTTAGAAAAGCGCCTGCTTTGCAAAGAGAGTCACCCTATTTGTTTGAAGAAGAAATTAAAGTGAAACTGACACGTTTTGCTATTCCTATTCTTCTTCCGGAGAAACGAAAGAGAGCTTCAAAACAGAGACTTCCACGCCATCTGAAGCAATGAGCGAACTTCCCCAGAGATATTTTTGGCTGAGTGAACAATCTTGTTATGTACGATCTTTGCTGAGCGCAACTGCGTATTACTATTACACGGAGACCGACAGTTAATACCAAGAGCATGTGCACTAGCAGTGAATGGGCATCGTCCCCAGTAATTGCATGCGCAGAGCAGTGCACGATGACTCTTCTGGCCTATTTAGGCATACCTTTGGCATTACATGGAGATCAACCCCACCATATTCCCGGTATTTACTTCCTACCTCATATCCTCCTTATCTCCCTTTCTGCTCTCCTTAAAATACGACGTGGTTGTTAATTACAGGTTCCCTCACAGTAACGATCATAGTTTTTACACCATATGCCAGTGACAGTCATCTCATTTTTATTATTTCGTGCTCAGCAGGTGTTTCAACTTCATTCTGTCGGTTATGCAATAATATGTGCTCAATTTTGGCAAGCATCCGTTACCAGTTTATCTTATGGGGTTGCATTCTTTATATTTATACAATCGGATCCTACTTAGGTTGTTCATTAGACCCAAGGCTAACTGAGTTGCAATTTACGCATTATATTGATATATTTTTTAAAGTGTAAAACGTAAGGGAAAAAATCCATCCGCCATACTTATAAGGTAGGCAGTAAATGAAAAAGCAAAGCCACCAAAAAGGAATAAAATGGTAAGATATTTTGGGATCGGTTAGGGGGGGTGGGGGTGGAAGGGGTGGAAGGCGCTTGCTGAATTTGAAGGCCTCCGATATAGACTACTAACTCAGGTATAAACGTGGTAACAGTCTTTCCACGTCTGTGATAATGTACTGCCTACGTCTTCTAAATCGCACCACCAAATACAACTATCACCCTCCCTCCCTCCCTCCGTTTTGCTTCTCCATTTTCATTGTGTAATACCATATAAAGCCAAAGGAAAAGGCAGCCCTTTAATCATTTTCTCGAAAGTCTCCCGGAACCCAGACTCTCAGCTCATAACAAATCTGGTAAGCGCAGTTATGAGGGACGGCGAAAGGCGGTGTATGATTACATTTCATAAAACTGAACCTTAATTTCTTTTCGTGTGATTTGTTGTTGAAATAAAGGTTGCTTTATCGCGCCTGAAAATGTTGATGGGGACAGAAAAATCGGAAAAATAGGTGCTGAGAATTCAATCACGACTTGTCAACTCATCAACTGTCCCTGCAGGAGACGGCAGTTAAGAGAGTTCAAGCAATATTCTGAATCTTGTCTCTCTATATAAAAACTAGAAAACAAAAACGTGTGGACATCCAAGTTCTCGTTTTGATTGACAACATAAAGCATTTCGTTCGATGTAGAGAATGCAAGGAATGAGGCTGTCTAGTGTAGATCCAATATATTTTTGTATAGTGTTCCGAGGGGTGCAGCATTATGTTTGTGATGGGGACTATTGAGAATGGTTGGCAAACGGGGGAGGACACCTAATAAAAGGGTGTATGGGAGAGAGAATTGCAGTAGTGATGAAAGGCTCATGCCTTGAGCAAACATTATTTTGTATAGAAACCTTCTCGTTCACATGCATTTACCAAGGATGTTGGGCGTCTGTTCTCGAGGGCACTCGAGTTTTTTGTGAGTCTAGATTAAAAACTGTGCATCCATTTTTTTTTACAGAATGCTTCGTCCATAAGCAAGCTGAAGAAGGAAAGCAAAGTGACACTGTTACTAATTGCATCCTATCCCCTCTTTCACAATCCCCTTCTTCTTTTCTCATGTTTCTAGTTCCACCTTTGTCCTCTCCTTTTTCCAACTACAGAATTTCATTTCAAAACTGTTTCTTCTCTTTCCTCCTCGTCCATTTTCTTATATTTTTTTCCAAACAACTTTTATGTGACAAAACATGAATTTCTTTCTCGTGTCTCAATTCCCATGTTTTTCATTTCTCCTTTCCGTCATAATCGCTCTTATAATATGATTGCTTATGCTTGCGGTCCCTTTCCTTCCCCTATGGATTTATTTCTCTTATGTTTATCTTTTATATCTTCTTGTCTTCCTCTTTTTCTTTTCTTCTTCCTTTATACTTACCGGCATCTGTGGTGCAACAGGTAGGCGCTTCGCCATGGCACCCAGATGACCTGCGTTCGAATCAAGAATGTGGAAAATGTTATCTAGTACCTCTGTCTGTCTTTTAGAACACTGTATCGGTCTCAGCAACATGGTTGCTCTGACAGCTAGGGTCGAAACAGCCCGGCTACTATTAAATGATCGGTGAGAGTGTAAACCACCAACATTATACAAATATTCATTCTTTTATCTTTTTCTACAACCATCTTCATCACAACGTCTTATACATGTACTATGCCACCGACATTCATTAAAAAATGATAACTTTTCTTTTTACCCCGCGTTCTAAAAAGTTTCGGAAACACTGTTCCCCTTAATATTGCATTTCCAAGATGGCTTTTGTCTTTCTTCAGATCAGCTCGTAAAACTCAGCCCATATGTTTACGCAGTGAACGGACGTCTGATTGGGCATGATGGCGTCTGAACCACGAGTTCAGTGGCCTGCCGTGCTGCTCTTGCTTTTCACACTGAGCTGGTTCCTGCATATAATGTCCGGTCAGTTGACTAACTCACGAAATCAACATCTAGTCTCACGCTCTGCAAATACTCACTTACACTGGCCGAAGGAGCGCTTCTTCCAAGCAGACCGCATCACCAGACATGATATGGTGGTGGAAGACCTGCAGCAGCAGCCTTGGCGACAGAATCAGGGAAGGCTGGTAAAGAATATCAACGACAAATCCTCTGATCTTGCTGATAACAAGGCTGTACTGTCTTCACAATCCTTTGAAACTGTGTCGATGTCTGCTCCATCAAAGGCTTCTGATAGACTATTACAACTCCAAGACCTGGCGACACCGCCAACGTCGAAAACTATGCAGCGATTTTCATTTGTTCCCAAATTAGTCCACAGTGGCACATCAAGCCCATCTTCTCAAGCCCAATCGCGAAGTTATGTCGAACGTTGGTTTGAAGTATTTCACTATTTACCAGAAGTATCAAGAACTCAAATTAGTTCTCTACGAAACAAACGTTTAGCGAAACCAAGACAAGTAGATGCACCTTCTGGTATCCTTGCATTGCCACAAACAGCTTTGACTAAATTTCAACAGAAAAGTAAACGCATTCCTGCCGTACTCGAACGTCAGGAACCACAGAAGAAAGGAATTATCCTATCCAGGTACAAGTTGCAGAACGCATCTAAATTTCGAAGGCTGAGAATTACTCCTTTACGTTTTCATCGCTCTAAAGCGTCCATGAAACGTACTCAATGGTTGAAAGTGTCAACACTTGTAGGTGGAATTTCAACATGGAGATTTGATCACGGTTTGAACTCTGCTTTCCACTCGTTACACATCTTTGACCGCGCAAGGAAAGTTTTGCATCCTGTTGGGCTTTGGTTGTCTAAGAAAGGCAAATTGAACACAGTGGAAAATGGTGTTGATTTCAGAACTTATCATAATAATAGACCTGTACGAAATCAAGGCTGCAAAAATGTTACACAAACATTTCCCGTTGTAAATAACACTAACGCTATCCGTTCTGAAATCAACAAAAAGCTAGAGTATGATTTTAAAAAAGCATTTTTGCCACACAGTTCCCATAAACCAATACAAAGAACGTCTATAGAACACCTAGTGAGACAAGATCAACAAACTAGTTCTAATTCTACTCAACTATCATCTGAGTTGAATCTCCTGGCAGTCCAAGATACAAACAAACTTAACTCGTTAGATCTAGGAAGTAATCATAAACAAGAGAAAGACCTATCAAACCGCACGCTTTCTAGGCTCAAACGTTCATCGAAAAGTAACAACGAATTTACTTCAAGACGACGGCCAGCTAGTTCATCTGAAAAAAGGAGTTCTGGATTACCGTTCAGGAATCGCTTTCCCAGGCCACCTGGTGATCGTGATTCTCGATTCCCAAATTCTCGACCCGGGACGGGAGATCGATTCTCCAACTTCCCCGGTCTTGGAAACGGCCCCGGTTTCCAACCTCCTCCTCTTGGGCCTGGGCTTGGAACGGAACCACAGGTGAGCAATGGACTTAGCTGTACAGTGAATGTTGTTGTTACTGCTATTGATATTGTTTTTATTGTTGTTGTTTGTTAGTTTTTGCTTAAATTGTTGGCGTTGTGGTCGACATTGTTGCTGCAATTTCTGCTGTGTTGGACGATGTCGTTTGTAACAGCAGCACTGATGATGGAAGGGTATGGTTGTTTTGATGAAGATGGTGATGGCTGTGGTAACGATAAAAGGGTAGTGATTGCCACTGAGCTGTTAGTACTAATAGTAGGTGATTGTTTTGGTTGTGATGAAAGTGTTGGTATTGAAGCTGAGAATGTTTCGTAGTGTTCTATGGTCTGCTGGGGTAATAATATAGTGTACAGCGCGTAGAGCCTGCTGTTGAGCGGGGATATGCGCTATAAATATGCTATCTATTATTATTATTATTATGTAGCAGTCAACTTGTAGTGTTGGGACAGTGCTTGTAGTTCATGTCGTTGCCTCTTACTGCTACTGTTGCTGCTGTTGTTATGTAGAAATCGAAAGGATAAGGGCTTCTTGAATGTTTGTGTTGCCTCAAATTCCCCGAACCCCCACGGGCCCCTTTCTTTCAACGTCCTTCCACCTGATCATCTCCATAGGCCTTTTCAGCTTAAACGCGGAGTCTCATCACGCTGAAGGACTGGCCACCGTGTAAACTGTGGATCCAGCGCTAAAAGATAGAGACATGTGTTTAGGCCTGGGATTAGATAGCATACCCAAGAGAATTAGAGGATAGAAGGTGTGGAGATGCGATGTGGACATGTGTGGGGCGAACTGTCTGGGTCTCTTCCCAAGAGGAATCTTACAGAAGAGTTAACGAAGGCATCGCAACTGTTTTTCGGACAAACTATTTCGCTTTTATTGTCTTTGTAGTTATTGCTGTTGTTGTCATTGTCGTCGCTGTTGTTGTTGCTGTTGTTGTTGATGCTAAAGTGCTTGTTGTCGTTCTTGTTGTCGTCGTCGTGGTCTTCTAAAAGGTTGTTGTTTATGTTGTTGTCGTTGTTGTTGTTGCTGTTGTTCTCGCTATCTCTGTTGTTCGTGGAGTTTAATGTTCGTGTGGAAGACAGTGGACAGCACTTTCGACAGTGGAGGACATATCGTGCTGTCTTGACCCCAAGTGTATTGTGGGAAAAGAGCACGATTTTAGGTTAATGATTCAGACCACACTTGAACAACAGCATCGATCTATTGCGTGGTATATCGAGTCCATAATAATCTATTCCGTCCTGGTGGTCGACAGTCTGCTTCATATCACAGAAAAGAAAGAAAAAGGTGGGGAAATTAGAATGAGTATGAAACATTAAAAAAACAGAAACAAAAGGACCTGGGTATTTTTCTAGTTTTTTTTTCACAAATCGCCTTTTACTCTTATGTTTACCCTTCTGCATTCGGCAGTGTTTTATGAGGTAGGTAGATAGATAAATAGATAGATAGATAAATAGATAGATAGATAGATAGATAGATAGATAGATAGATAGATAGATAGATAGATAGATAGATAGATAGATAGATAGATAGATAGATAGATAGATAGATAAATAGATTTGTTTAATTTTTCGTTACTATTGTTTTTTGTTTTATTTACGTTCCTTTGCTTTTTTATTATTTAGTTTTCACTGTTTCGTTTTATTTCGTGATTATTGTGCTCTCTTGTCACGTGGGGGGGGGGGGTCTAGTTGTGTGGGGAATTGTAGAGTCTACATCGTATATTCTGCTTGAATGCATCATGGTTGTATTGTGAACCACCATTCTTCGCGACATAGCCTGGCTGTAACTGTTCCCTGCTAAAAGACAGACAAAGCATTTTCAATCAAACAGCACGGAAGTCTATAAACCATTTTTGAATTTCACCCCAAGGGAGCTAAATCGAGACCCGGCATTGATACTTGTACCAGCTGTACCATTAAAATTTTCTCTATGTGTCACCAGTTTATTTCTGACCTTGTGGAATAGAATATGAATATTATAACAGGGACATCCAAAGTCGCATTGAAACATACATTGCACCTCGTCATTGAAAATGAGTGAGACTTGATTGTATAAAATGTGATTTCAATGGCAAATAACTTCAAGCTATGCTTATTAGAGTTTGAACTTGTATTGTATTTTCAGTACACCTTGAGAGGCACAATGTTTAGTGTAGTTTTATTTCCCCAGCCCGTTTCTCTCAAAGTGATTGTCCATTTGGGCGTTCGGCGGGGATACCAGCGTTACATTGACAGCGCAATCACCAAGGTGACCAGGCAGCAAGAGTTCCTCCCCTTAATTCCTTACATCCGGCCTACAGGCCGACTCGTCACTCTTGCTAACGATAACCCCAGAGACATTTTACAGGTGTGTATATATATGTGTATGTATGTTTTTGTGTATGTGTGTGTATGTGTGTGTGTGTGTGTGTGTGTGTGTGTGTGTGTGTGTGTGTGTGTTTGTGTCTGTGTGTGAAAGTGTTCGTGTGTGTTTGTGTTTATGAGTGCGTGTGTGTGTGTATGTGTGTGCGTGTGTGTGTATGTGTGTGTGTGTGTGTGTGTGTGTGTGTGTGTGTGTGTGTGAAGAAAATATAGGAAGTGAATAAAAAATCGAGAGAGAGAGAAGAGAGAGAGTGAAGTAGCACAAAAAAAAAGAAGAAGAAGAAGAAGAAGAAGAAGAAGAAGAAGAAGAAGAAGAAGAAGAAGAAGAAGAAGAAGAAGAAGAAGAAGAAGAAGAATTGAATTTGCAAGTTTTGGAATGCTTACACTTCACAACATCTTTAAATTCCAAGACTTATTCATCATTCTGGTAATTCACTTATACTCTCGATTTCCGTTTCCATCAAGTGCAATCTTCTTTGTGCACATGCTGCATACATGATTTTGCAAAATTAGTACTGTAATACATGTATTCATTTGAGAGTATAACGCACATAAAATAACGCACAATGAATTTATGTCGCGTCGGGAAAATATTTTTGGTGTTCGCTTTTTTTACATATACATTATGAAACACCGGAGAAAAAAAATAGTGTGGAATTAATTGTCTATTACGTAGGCCGCAAAATTCACAAGTTCTTAACAGGAACGTAACAATAGAGGCTGTAAATTTGGTGTTTGCGTTATTTCTCTCTAACTGTATCCTAATTTGCTGTCATTGAAAAAGATTATGCAAGAAAGAATGATTTAAATACCTTGTAACATTTAAACTAATCGCTGACTATTATCTCTGGGAATTATTGCCCAAGATTTCTGTCGTTGATTGACTTTTCACAACTACATGTAGTTTATTTTCCATAATATCAGTAACTAAAATATTTCGAAACAAATATTTTTAAAAACCGAAAAATCATGAATGTTAATTCACCAGACGTGTGCTCCTTTCTCAAAACCAGTATTATTTGATAACTCTGATGCCACAGCTGTCTCCGTACACTGAAAAGTTTAGATAAGAAGCAGACACTTTTGACAAATTTTGGAGTGATGGTGTGTGAGCTATTGTAATGCCAGCATTTTCTTGTACTCCTGACATCTGAAATCTGTAGGATAAGAATCTGACGTACTTTTGCTCTAAACATTTTCTAGAAAATGTTAAAAGTATGTCAGATGCCTCTATTTACCATTTAAAAAATAGAACTTTTGACTTCTTAAACTTATTTAACAATGGCTGTGTTGTTGAGCTTACTTTTAATGGAAATAGTGCAGGGATTAGAGTATGAACTAAGAAATGCCAGAGTTGCGCAAAGTAGCGTCAAAGAATACATTCTTTATGAATGTAAGAACCAACCACGTTCCGTCATTAGCCCATATTCTTATACAGATTTCTAGAATGTAATATGGGGGCTCTCGTGGCCTCTCTTTCAAAAGGTCCAGGGTTCGAATCCGGTTAGCAACGGAAATTTTTCTTCTCTCAGATTTTCTCCTTTCCCACCCCTTTCTGCTCTCTAACAATATTTTGTCGTCTGCTTTCGTTTCCGCTTTCTGCTCCCTCCCCATTTGCCCCCTCCCCTGGGCTCCTGACTCTTTCTGCAGTCCTTCTACTGCTTTTTCTTGGCTCTTTCTTACTGCTGTCTTTCAGCCTCACTCATGATCTTCTGATAGGAATAATCTACACCTAGCCTTCTCGGACAAGGGCGAAAAATCCCGGAGGTCCCGTGTGCAAATTGCGAACGTTAAAGACCCTTTGGTGGTAGAAAATCGATGAGTAGGCTTCGGCCGCCATATGGGTAAAATTCAAAATGTCCTTCCAACTGAAAATGATAGGTGTGTCCCGCACGTTCATGTAACCTTATACAGTTGCGAGCGCCGTAAAACATTTCACGCCCCCCCCCCCCCCCCCCAAAAAAAAAAGTGATATCAATATGAACTGAACATCGAAAATGACTGGATTTAATTATACTTCTACTTAATCTGTCTTATTAAGGAGACTTCAGCAGGTTGTTCCTTCTTGTTTTAAGTACATGTGCTCATAAAAAGTGCGATCGAATGTCCTAACATAAAAATAAGCTTTCACAACAATGTGGCGATCTCATGAATCTCAAGGCAATGTGGTATTTATGTCACTTCAGGGGCTTCCTGTGAGAATATTATCGAAATAATTAATTATTATGTCATGTTAATTAGGTTATTGAAACTGTCTAATTTCATGCATTGCTGGTCTCTGCCTATCTTTTCTTGGGTTCTTATATTTCTATTCAACTGGTCTCAATCTGTCTTTGCGATTATTCCGCCTCATAAAAGCTAATCATATCTACTAACGTATCACAATTTATTTGTTTACTCTAATACTATCCAATCTTATCCTTTTTAATTCTACCTCATTATTATCAAATTTCACTTTTTCTCACCCTGGGTCATCGCGTCTAATTTCATTTGCATTTTATCTTAACTCCAAAGGCCTTCTGTACGAATATTCTGGAAGCCAACAGTACAGCTGTGTTCCATTTGATCAACCCGTTCTACCACACACGGAGTTGGTCATCTGCCCAATACGTGGCCAATCTCTTGACAACACTTAACATGCCCGTCATCACATGGGGGCCGGAGTACATTGGCACCACTGACAAGGTGAGTCTCATAAACATACACCATGCAAACACACACACGTACACACACACACACACACACACACACACACACACACACACACACATAGACACACTCACGCACAAACACACACACATACACGCACACACTTCAGACCTTCACACATATATAAACACATCGACGCACAAGCGCATTCTCACATGTACGTAAACACACTAATACACGCATCCACACCCA